ACACGCTCCAGCAGGCTTGGGCACATGCTAATCAAATGAATCTGCCTGTGCTGGGAGAGCAATTTTCATGAATTACTTTAAAAATGAGAGACATAGCATTAACCTATCTGGAAAATGAAGTCTTGCTAAATGATGTTATGTAATCACCTCTCATCTTTTACCCTATATAATTCATCAAATCCTCTCACAAGTCCCCAAACATCTTATGTTTTCTTATATACAATATTAAAAATTTAAACCCTCTCTCTATATAACTTATATGTTAAATATTTATCATATATTTGTCTTGTTGTTCATTCATTTCAGACTCTTAGTGGCCTCATTTGGGGTTTTCTTGACAAAGATAAACTTGAGTGGTTTGCTGTTTCCTTCTCCAGCTCATTTGACTGATGAGGAAACTGAGGCAAACAGGGTTAAGTGACTTGCCCAGGGTCACACAGCTGGTAAGTATCTTAGGCCAGATTTGAATTCAGGAAGATGAATCTTTCTGACTCTAGGCCTGGTGCTCTACCCACTTGCGCCACCCACCTTCCCTATCGTTGTCTTAGGTGCCCTCTTTTTCAGGTCACCATACACTGAGAGTTAATGTGCCACAGTGGAAAGAACACTGAGTTTGGAGTCTGAGAAACTGGGTTCCTGACCCAGCTCTGCCCCTCACAAGCCATGTGACCTCAGGCAAATCACTTTGCCATCTACAAAATAAGAGCTGGACTAAATGACCTGAAGTCCCTCCCAACTCTTGAGAGCTTAATTAACTTGCAAGTATCAGAGGCAGAATTCAAACCCAGGTCTACAAACATACAACCTATAACTCAGCCACAGCAATCTGTACATAAGACATTCATCTCTGTTGGAGAACGACCTCAGGAATTGGGCTACACTATCAGTTGCCTCTTCGTGTGTTACCCAATGATAAAACATTGTTCTGTCCTTCACACTCAGCTTCCAGGCATCAATACAATTATTGACTAACTACTTTGCAGTAATATACAAGATGTCCCAAAAGTCTTTGTGCAGTCCCAAGCTTTTAATGGCTTGGAATTAAAATAAAATCAGAGAATTAGAGGTTGAAAGCTAGAAGGGACTTTGGATTTCATTTACCCCCCCCATTCTATAATAGGGGAAATGAGGGCCCAGAAAGGGTAATACTTTGAATTATGTCATGTTAATGTTCAGCTCGTTTGATAATATTGCCACATGGGGCTAATTCAGCTATCTGAAGGTGAAAAACATTTATCAGCTGCTCCTCAATAATACAGATGGGGTGTCCCAAAACTTTTAGTGCAGTTTTAAGCTGCTTTTAACTCCACCAGGACTTTTAGGATGCCCTGCCTCAATGAAAGGGTGTGATAGTTGGGCGACCTTATATGGCAGATCAGAGGCTCACAGATTTAGAGCTGGGAGGGTCCTCAGAGACTGCCTAGGTCAAGGGCACCCAAGTGCTCTGATGCCAGACCCAGTGCTCTCTCTCCCCAAGCTTTAGGTTAGTGCTTTCGGAGTCCAAGAGGTGATCTAGTCCACACTATATATAGCACTCCTTTCCCAGAGTCACAGAATCCCTGGGTCATCTTGTCCAACCCAGACCCAAACAGGCATTGCCTGGATACTATCCTGTACCAGTGGTCATTCAGCCTCTACCTGAAGGGGAACCCATCAGCTCTAGGGCAGCCCCGTCCACTTTTGGAGACTTCCAAAGTTTTCCTTGACTTCTAGCCTAAATCTGACCCTTTTTTGGCTCCCCTCCCCCACTGCTCCTGGTTCTTCCCTCCGAGGCCAAGCAGAATGAGATGTCTTCCTCTTCTGTATCACTGCCCTTCAAACCCTTGAAGACAACTTGTCTGGGACTTCTCCAGGCTCCTTAGTTCTTTCACTGTTTTCTCATATGGCACCATTTCTAGCCTTCCATCAATGGGTGCATTCCAGTCTGCTTCCTGAGAGATAGCACCCACAACAGAAGCACTACAAATAGCCTTCTGGTCAACCCTTTACAATATGTGTCTAGTCTTCTGCTTACAAAGTTAGAACACTAGATATACCCATATTTAATCAGTATTCAATTTACCAACATCTAGTAAGTGTTTACTTAAGCACTTCAGACACAAAGAAAAACAAAAAGAGTCTCTGCCTTCAAGGAGTTAATGTTCTAATGGTGGAGGCAACGTATATAGATCAATATGGGGAAGGCATTGGAGGCTGGGGAAAGGAGGAAAGGGAAGAGAGACCGAAAGGCTAGACGAGATGGCACTTAAGTTGAGTCTTCGAAGCCAGGGAGTCTAAGAATCAGAGGCTGGGATGGAGAGCATTCCAGGCATGGTGAATGAGAAGTCCAAAGGCATGGGGGCCAGAGACGAAATGCGTGCAAGGGGTAGCAATTAGGCCAAGAGAGCTGGATTGTAGGGTACACGGATGGGGGTAAGATGTACAAAGTCTATAAAGGTTGCGAGAAGCTTTAAATGCTAAACAAGGGACTTTATGGTTGATCCTGGAGGTAATAGGGAGCCCCTGGAATTGATTGAGAAAAGGTTGACTAATTTAAAAATACAAATCAACCCCTAAATATTCAAAATAAATGAATTTTGGGTATATTGAAGCCATATTATGGTATAGTAGAACTGAATTTGGAGTCACAATCTGAGTTTCAATCTTAGAACTGCTACTCACTCTTCTTTGTGACATTAGGTAAAATCACTTAAACTCTCCGGGCCTCAGTTCACTTATCTGTAAAATGAGGGGAACGGACTCCATAGCTTCTGAGCTCCTGACTTATATTGTCCCTTAACAGGATTTTCCAAACCATTCCACTCTTCCACTTGTATGTTTCATTGACAAATGACTGATAAATTTCTTTCCTTTCAAAGACCTTCACGAGTGAGGGCTGTTTTCCAGGAAAGGGTTGAAAACTAGATGCTCTGCTGGGGTCACTTCCAACTCTCAATCCTGTGATTCTCAGATCAAAGGGAAGCAAACCCGTGAACCAGATCAAAGAATCAAAGGTTGAGTCCAACTCAATGTGCTTGATGTTGGCGCCACCTAGTGGTTCATCTCTCAACTTAACCAGAATGAAGAGCGCTCAAAACTACCGTGAATTTGAAAAAACATCTGGAATTTATAGTAGCAATTAATGCGGTTGGGGGAAAAAAGCAATATTTCAATAATGAAAAGCATTTAGACTAAAGATTATGCATTTCTATCTAAACATAATTGAGTCAGAAAATCGTTTCATTAAAGTTAGTAGCAAACCTGCTAGGTTTTTAATAAAATGCCTCTTTGCTGCTGTTAAATAAAAGCATTCGACACATAATAAAAACCTGCTGAGAGGAGAGAACAAGAGGATTTGCTGGGAAATGATTTTAAAATGCCATGAGAGTAAATGGAAGATGAAACTTTGGTGCTTTCATAATGGGGAAAACAATTTTCACCATTGCCTCCAATGTCCTTTTCTTCTTTTTACACAAAAGTGAAACATAAGACCTCTGATACAAAGGGAAACTACCACCAGGCTACCTGAGGCAGAAAAAAGTGGAAGAGAACACTGGGCCATCTCCTGGGATCAGTTCTTGAAAACTAGTAAAATTAAAGGTCACTGGATGCCCGCCATCTTTGGAAACTCATTCTGGTCATGGCCTAGAGCAAACCACTTAGACTTCCTAGGCCCAAGTGTCCTCATCTATAAAATGAGGGGTATGGTCTAGATGGCTTCTGAGGTCCCCTCTTCCAGTCTCAGCTAATCCTATGATTCTCTAAGTTAGTCATTAATGACTCTTTGAGCCAGTCAGTGAGATGGCTCAGTGGATAGAGCTCTGGGCCTGGACACAGGAAGACCTGAATTCACATCCAGTCTTGGTAGGCAGCTGTGTGACCCTGGGGAGGTCACTGAACCTCTGTTTGCCCAGTTTTCTCAATTGTAAAGTAAGGGTAATAACAGCACCTACCTCACAGGGATGATAATTATAAAGCTCTGCACAATACCTGGCACACAGCTGGTGCCACATAAATGTTAGCTATTATTAATATTACCTCGCAGGGTTGTTAGGAAGATTAAATGAGATAATATTTATAAAACACTTGATGAGAATTCCCTTCCCTTCTGCCCCTAGGTGGTAAAGATCACTACCTGTCCATACCTTCTCATCCTATAAGAATAAGCTGGTAGATCAGAGACTCATAGGCTCATGGACTCATAGCTTTAGAAAGAGTTCTTAGAAAATTGCCCAAGGTTCAGAAAGATGGCTTGCTTTTGATTACAAAGTAAGTTCCTCCTTATATTGGGCGTGCTTTTTTTTTTTTTTTTTGCGGTTAATTGACTTGCCCAGTGTCACACAGCTAGTAAGTACTATGTGTCTGAGGCCGGATTTCAACTCAGGTCCTTCTGAATCCAGGGCCGGTACTCTATCCACTGTGTCACCTAGCTGCCTCTCCTCCTTATATTGGGAAAAAATTCACTTCCCTATGACTCTCATTGATCGGTCTTTGTTCTGCCTTTAAAAACCAACTGCCAAGTAGATATCGGGCACCTTCCATATTCTGGGCCCTGGAGCAGGTCTTGGGGTTACTCTACTGAAGGGGCGTCTGTTGAGAGAGTCTACACAAGGAGTTATACAAGGTATTCCTTGGTCATAGTGTGGTTTCAAGCCTTGGTAGATAATTGTGGCCTTTCAGACATTTGCAAGAGGAAATGTGGCTTTGTGGGTCCATCTTGGCCTCTGCCATTCCCTAGCGGCATGGTAGCCTGTGGCAGATCCCTGAACCCAACAGTGCCTCACGAACCCTTCAGAGACTCAAGTCCCAACCAGGTCTATACTAGCGGACCTCTTCCCAGCCACAGTTCCCTACGTTAATGAAACCCTCCTCCGTCCCAATGTCTGCCCTAGGCTAACTTCACAGACAGCTAAGAGAAGTTCTCAGCTATAGAATCATGAGGGAACTGCAATCATAGAGCAGGCAGAGTGAAAGAGGCTGGTGCAGAGGACAGGGCTGGAGTTTGCTCAGATGCCGCCTACCTACGCAGCTCTTTAAACGGTTCTCTGCAAGCTCCGAGACGGTACCAGAAGTCACAGTCTTCTTCAGCCTGACGGATCCTGAGGGGCTGGCACTGCCCGGTTTGGTGAGCATGTCATCGCTACTGGCCCTCTTCAGCTGTAAGGGAGAGAGAGGCAGGAGAAGGGAAGGGGACAAGACAGAAGACTCCATAAGTATCCCCCAGGGAACTGGAGCATCCCCACTGCCTAAGGGTATACCACCTAGTGCCCAGGAGGTGCTTAATAAATACTCGCTGATGGACTGCAGACCTCTTCCCCAGTAGACGGTTAAACCATTAAAGGTGACATTGGGGGAAGGGGTGTCTGGTCATTCACCTCTAATTATACTATTATCTCACCTACATTTTGCTATCTTTCCCCTAATAGCAAAAGAGACTGTCAAATAAGTCCTATTTATGGAAGCAGGCCGGAGGTGTGATGGATAGCATTTTGGACTTGGACTCAGGAAGACTTGAGTTCAAATCCTGATTCAAACACCAGCTAGTTATAGGATCCTGACCAAGTCCCTTAACTTCTCTCTGCCTCAGTTTCCTCATCAGTAATATGGGGATAATAACAGCACCTACTTCACAGGGCTCTTGTGAGGATCGAATGAAAGAATGTCAATAAAGCACTCGGAAAACTTTAAAGTTGTTGTTATTATTATCATCATCATTATTATTTCTCCAGCACCTCAGTACTCTACTCTTCAAGTAATCATGTCACAAAAACAAGGAAACAAGCCTAGTCGGGATGACTTGTTCTCAGTGAAGAAAAGCTGGCACTGTGATTGCTGCTTCCTTTTCTAGATTTCATCAACCATCTCTTTAAATAATGTGCTCTAGAATTGCAATTGTAGTAGTGAGGGAAAATCTCTGCACAATGCAGCATGATGGAAACAGTCAAGAATTTGGAGTCTAAAGATCTAGGTTCAAATCTCCACTCTGCCACTTACTACCTATATGTGACTCTTACCCAAGCAACCTCTCTGCCTCAGTTTCCTCATCTGTAAAATGAAAGGATTCAACTCAGTGGCTTCTAAGATCCCTTCCAGCTCTAAAAGTCTATTATCTAGGATTTCCCTACACTTCAGTTTCCTCATTTGTAAAAAGGAGGGTGGGACAGATGGAATTGTAATTCCCTTTGAGGTCTCCATTTATGATCTCATCACTATTTCCAGCTCTAAATCTATGAGCCTGGAATTTCTGTGGTGACCAAGGGAAAAAGGGAATTGTAGGATGGATGGGAAGAAATACAAGTCAATGTGGGAAAATGCATTAGACCAGAAGAAACCAGATTGGTCACTAACCAGCCACAAGACCCTTGGGCAAACAACATGGCTAGTCCATCTCCTCTTCTATAAAATGAGGAGGCTGCATGAGAGCATCCCTGAGATCCCTTCCAGCCCTGCGTTCTAAACAGCAGGACATGAGGGCTTATACTAAGCTGGACCCCTGTAAGTTCATGACACAGCCTTGAAGAACCCAGCTGTTACCCACAGCAGTGACTTCAGAGGGGACCTGCCCAATCTTAAGAGGGGGTCAAGAGAGAGATTACAGCTCATTCTAAAGAAAGGGCTATAGTCAGCTCAAACCTGGATCCTTGCCCAGGGAATACTGCCACATTTATTCGACTATAAGTGAGTCTTTGTGAACAAAGATGTTAATAAACATCAATTGGTGACCTCAAATGCATCTCAATGCAAAACTGCCCCTTGATATCACTAGAAAGGGAAGGCTGTCATCCATTAATTATAAGAGCCACAAATCTGAAATTCCTTTTCTCTTTAAGCTTGTCCTCTCCATATAAATGTGGCCATTTCTGGATCACCCAGGACAGGTATCATGCCCCTGGTGGAGCCCCTGGATTAGAACCCAGTTCTTGGGGCTTCCAACCCGGGGCTCTTCCTCCCCAAGCCTACTGGCTTTGTCCACCTGGAGGTGCCAGCACTCAAGTTAAAAACAGCTGCTGGTGATCAGTGTTACTTGAATTCTCCAGCCCACACTCCAGACACCCCATGCTGAGGCAGGGGTGGAGTCTCGCTCCCTGAACACCACAGGAAATGGGTGAAAGCAATGAGGCACCTCTGATTGTGGAGGCTGAACAGTCCCTGGAGAGCTCCCCAAATAAAGAAGGGAAGTGGATTGACTGAGATCAGGGAATTCCAGATGCATGATCACAAACAAAATGCTTCTGTTTCCACTTTCGAAGGCCAATGTTCTGTTTTCTGATGTCATAAAAATTAGCAAGGAGAGTGGATTTAATCTGAAAGCTGAGGGCATCTTGGACAGCGCCTAATTAGTAATAAATATCCAAAACTAAATAGTAGGCAGAAGTATTGAGGCACAGTAGGAGGGCCATTGGAGTGGGAGGCAGGAGACCTGGGTTCTTATGTTGGTTTTAACACTAATCTGATGTGTGACCTTGGACAAGCCACTTTCTTTCTCTGGGCCTCAGTTTCCTTGTAAGGGCCATGACCTATAAGGCCTGACATTCTATGCTCTAAGGCCCCTCCCTGATCCTGACAGCCTTCCCATGGGCCAGTCACCTCCCCGTGCCTCAGTTTCCTCCTCTGTAAAATGAGGGAGTTGGACAAGATGACCTCTGGAGTCCCTTCTAGTTCTAGAGCTGTGATTCTGTGGTCCAGTGGTCTTAAGTTCTCTGTTTTAAGGTATCCTGGAAAAGTGGATAGACAACCATGGACAACAGCCACTTAGTCTAGCCCTCTCCTTTCTAAATAATGAAATCATGACTCAGGGTTAAGTGACTTGTCCGAGGTCATGCGGGGGTTAGTGTCAGAGGGAGGACTTGAACCCAGGTCCCCTGACCCTTGGGCCAAGTGTTCCTTCTGCCCAATTTCTCCACCAACCCCCTTGCCCAATACTCCAGGGTTCCACTCTCTCTTCACCTGGCTTGAATGATTTCACTCTCTCCTGCCATTAGGAACACACTTGATCTTTTTATCTTTCTGGCCTTCCCCAACAGATATACAACTTCACATAAACAGCATGGTTTATGCTCATTTTATCCCTTGTCCTTCTCTGTACTGCTCTGTCTCACACGTTAATCCATAAGCCTCCTGAGGGCAGGGAATATATCTTCTTTCTCGGAAGAAGGAATTCCTCTATCCTGTAGGGAGCTCTATATGTTTAGGACTCTACTTAGTTCTAGGAAAAAGAGCTAACTCACTCACACAGGGGTACTAATTTAGCCTTCTTTTTTTTTTTTTTAATGATAAAAGAGGTCTGAATACAGGCCCCTAAAATGAAAGCCCTTTGAAAGAGGAAAAAGTACATCCTGAAAAATAATCATACACAATTACCTTATGAAGCAGTCTTTATGCTAAAAATTTTTTTTAATATGGTTATATTCCTTCTAATTAAAATTAAAATGTTTTATTCATTCATCACCATTTTCTTTATCTTTTTCACATAATGATAAACATGGGATGAGAAAAATCAATGAAACGAAGAGCACAGTCAGGCCACAGGTGTTAGAGAAGGCAGATGTAGGGGAGCAGGGATTTGGGGGAGACGCATAATCTGTAGTCAGGCCAAGACAGAAACTTGTTCACGTCACTGCATCAATTAAACAAAATAAAACAAACAATTAAAATTAAATGAAACAAAATTATCAAAATCACTAATTATTTATTTCCAGCTCTTATTCCTCCTCTCAGTCACTCTCACTCAACAGCCCAGGGAGCACTTATTAAGTGCCTGCTGTATGTCAGGTAAAACCTCCTGACCTTTCCTCCTTTAATCCAGTCTGAGACGAGGAGACAGCCTTGCTCTTCACCAAGGCCAATCCCTCAAGCCCATCCCCTCCTGTTTTTCTCCATTGGATTGCCCTTATAATCATCTTCCACTCTAATCTTTGAATCTCTACCTACTAATTGATTCCTTCTCTGCTGCCTACAAACATACCCATCTCTTTCATCCTGAAAAAAACCCCTTCATTAGACCCTACCCCAACCCTCAAGATATTGTCCTATATTTCTCTTCTCTCTCTGCCAAATTCCTGTGTCTGCTGCTGCTGCCTTCTCCCTCTTACTCCTCAAGCCTTTCCAATCTGGCTTCCAACCTCATCACTCAACTGAAGCTGCTCTTTCCACCATTGTCACTGATCTTTTAATTGCCGATCCTGATTTTTTTTCTTAGTCTTTATCCTCCTTGACCTCTCTGCCACATTTGCCATTGGTGGCCACCTTCTTCCTTCTGGAGATACTATCTTCTCTGGGTTTTCATGACAGTGCTCTCTTCTCTCTCTCTCTATTTCTCTGTCTCTGTCTCTGTCTCTCTCTGTGTCTCTCTGTCTCTATCTGTCTCTGTCTGTCTGTCTATCTCTCTTTCTTCTCCTCCCACCTCTCTGACCAAGCCTCCTCAGTCTCTTTTGCTAGATCATTAACCACATCACACTCCCTAACTGTAGAAATTAATGTTTCAGTTCCATTGAGAAATGCCTTAAAAATCCCCTAGCACATGCTATAGAAACAGACCCATATACATACATGTATGTACCTCGCTCAAGCTGAAGCTTTGATAACATTTAATAATCATTTTAAATTTCTTACTGTTTTTAAGCTACTGGGACCTGCACAGGAAAGGTTATAAAAGGGAAACATCTAAATAGTTCACAGATGAAAAGGAAATAAGATATCCCTTCTTTCTCCACAGAGACTTTCTGTATGAAGGCAGATTTATCTGTTGGGTTCACTGAACTATTTTTCTCTCTTTTAAAAAAGCCTTAGTTACATATAGTGGCCCCATGGATAGAGAAGAGACAAAGGAATGATTTGGAAATAGAGGTGATGTCAGAACAAAAGATGTCAATAAAATGGATTGGTTTTAGTTTTGAACTGGACCTGCGATCCACTGGTGTAAGGAGCTGCCAGTGTACAAATTCCCTCTCCCAATGCAGTGGCATCATCAAGTGCCCTGTAGTCTTCAGAGAATTTCCAAGGGCACCAAGATTTAAGGAAACAGCCAGTATGGCTCAGAAGACTTGAACTCAGGTCCTCTTGACTCTAAGGATGGTTCTTTATCCATTACACTAGGCTATTTCTCATCAATAAAAATATGCCTATAAAGAGGTTCTCTTAAGATAATAAATCCTGAGTTCTAAAACCACTGCCTATAATATAACCTGGATGTTAACATTCAGGGAAATGCCAGAATCTTTCACAAATAGTTGATACTCAAGATGAGGCTCTAAAAACTCACCCGATCCAGCTAAAAATTCTGGTCTGGCTCTACTTTCTTTCTGACTGTGAAGGAGGAATGACCTAGAAATCTTCTTCTGCATACTCTTCACCAATGAGGAGCCTTATGACATATAAAAAGGTGCAAGTGACACTCACAGGCCATCGGCCTAAGTTGCAAATGGTCTTAATGTGTCTACTTCACTCATTCTCACTGCCCCTTCCATTCAATCCTTCCAGAAAAGAGGAGTAGCAGTCTGATCTCTCTAGGTAGATAGGAAGAGAGAAACAGCTAGCTGGCTAGACAGATGGATGGATGTATGGATAGATGGACAGATAGATGGATAGATGGATGGATGGATGGATGGATGGATGGATGGATGGATGGATAGGTAGATGGATTGATGGATACATGGATGAGATAGATAGAGTATTTATTAAGCACTTACTATATTCCAGGCACTAAATGCTAAGTGCTGGGGATGCAAATGAAAACAAAGACATTCCTTGCCACCAAGGAGTTACATTCTCTTCTTCTCCTTTCTTGCTTTTCCCTATCCTCTCCCTTTTCTTCTCCTTCTTTATCCATTGTTCCTGTTTACCTCTCTTACCTCTCTCCCCAAAGGGCAGATGAGAAGCTAGGGGTGGGGAAAGGGATGTTATGATGAAAGACAGGCAAGGTCTGGTCAGGGATATCGACTGGGGAACGTTCTTTGTTTTCTTTCTATGTCAAGTCTTACTATACTAATAGGACCTGGAGACCCATAAAACACTGAGTGGGATTAATGAGCAGCCACAGCCTTTAGGGTATTCATTTGCTCTACTCTGGCTCTTTCCTTTATAATGAAGTCCCAGAACAGGGCTTCTACTGACAGTGAGTCAGGGCCCTACTCCTCAGGGACCCATTGTCCTTCATGGTTAGATATGTTATTGTTTCCAACTTGGTTAAATTCCCTTCTAATTTACGTTAAATTCAGGGCATTTAATTTCTTTTGAGGGAGACTGTCTCTCTCCATCACACCCAGCGCAGCAGCCACTACCAGGCCCACTGTCAGCAGACACAAGTTTTCCAAGCTGGGCCAGTCTCGCCCTAAATTCTTAGGTAGGCTGGTGGCCTTCCACTTCCAGGGTACCATATTGGTACAAGATTTATTGTGGACACTCATTTGGTTTTAGATAAGGCATCTAGTTGGCACTTAACAAATGCTTGAATTGAACTTAACTCCTTTAACAGACTGCATTCATGAACAAAAGGGAAAATAAAAAGATAATCTAATGATGACCTTCTCTGAACTTAACTAAGTTGAGCCTCAGACAAGATACATGGAACCTGCTGCTGAGCCTACATTCAAAACCTTTCCAGCTTGGCAGACCCTGTTAGTGCTTGCACTCCTCTGGTAGGTTCTTCCAGAGTATAGTCACCTACATACCATAATGAAGCATAGGAGTAGGATTTTTGCAGGAGCTGTAAGCTTTTACATGCAACTTTCAGGCTCCCTTCCCCTCACCCCAAAGTATCTCTACAGTCAGTAAAAATGTAAACAAGCTCATGCAACTTCTTTCCTCATATTTCCTTTACATTCTTATTAGAAGATAAGCTCTTTGTGGTCAGGGAATGCTTCATTTTTGTCTCTGTATGCCTAGAGACTGAAGAAGCTCCCCACTGAAAAGACAGGCACTGGGTGATTATTTGGGCTGCAACTCAAGAAATGTGGAAGTGCTGCAGTCTGCATAGGAGGAGGGGTTACCCAAGCTAACAAAAGCACAGACATTTGGAATATTGGAGTACTGACTGTTCCCCATCTTCCTCCCTTTCCATACACAGCCAGTCTATCCACCGCCACCCTTCCTGTCCTGGAGAGTAGGAACTGTTCCATTGTATCCCTGGCCTAGTAGTAGTAGATATTTAATAAATGCCTGTTGATTGATTGATAGACTGTAAGCTCCCTGAAAGCAAGAATTATTTCATTCATTGCTTCTGCATTTCTAACACCAGACACAGTGTTTGGGTATATAGTAGGTGCTTAATAAATGTCAGTCAATTCCCCTGCAGTCAGACCAGGCTGCCTATATGTGCTCACTTGTATTACATTGGCAGAATAATTACCCCCATTCCTTATCCTAGGTAATATTCAAAATTATCACCAATTTGGCATGTGCTTTAAAAAAAAACCAGTACCTTGCTGAGTTTGGACTCAAAAGAGAGTGATGTAGAAGATTTGGAAGTCTTCATGCCAGAAGCAGCTGGAGGGAGGGGACGTCCCCGCTCAATCCCATGGGTCCCTTGCTTTACTGTTGCGCTCCAGGATTTAGCTACACTCTTCATTGTTCTAGGGGGTCCGACTTCCTAGAGGAGGCTGGAGGAGAAGAGAAAAAAATGAAATAAAAATGATGTTTTCATCATCCTGAACTAAAGCAGTATCTTACAAGGGTATTATGAGAACATTAGTACGTCGGCTACTTGCCATCACTAAGCCTTCTTGTGGTTGCTATCATCATGAGGACCTAGCCCTCAGATTTAGCTGAAAATAGAACATTCCTTCCCTAAGATCAGCAAGGGATCTTGAGACCAAACTGGATGCACTTAGCAAGAGGTCACGTTTTCTAAATTCTGCACAAAATCCTCTCTTCCCTGAAAGAAGCAACTCTTTTCACTAAACTTAATTTTCGGACATTACTTTCCATTGGGAGGGCAAGGGCTTCTGGGACAGGGTCACTTAGCACCACATTTACATCAGCCAGCCCTTCTAGAGAAAGTTGGCTCAAGTTAAGGCCATGAGCATAGTGGGGAAAGGGGGGGGGGGTCCATCTCCTCCATCTCCAGAGACAGATCCCGAACATTTCACAAGAAGTCGATTTAGTACATAAAAGCCAATTGGCCAAAAATGGATTTTGTGAAGCGATCACAAAAACACAAGGACAGCTTTTCCAACCCTCTTTTCCAAGGTTTGTTTTGCGGGGTTTTTTGAGAACATATTTTACATAATGACTAAACCATACTCCATGCTTAGATACATTTGGTCACACCCAACAACAGAAGCCTTTAGTGCTAAAAGTTAATAAAGTTATTCAAAGAAGCCTAAAGCAGAATAGTGGGGCGGGGGGAGGGGGGGATGGTGGTGGGAATCAGCATTGAAGAAAAAAGGACATGTCCATCGACTGGGGAATGGCTAAGACAGTTGTGGCGCATGAATGTCATGGAATATTACTGTGCTGGAGAAACAAGAGATAGGAAGAATTTAGAGAAATCTGGAAAGACTTTTATGAAAAAACAGATGTAGAATAAAGTAAGCAGAACCAGGGAAAAATACACACGATGAGAATGAAAAATGGAAAAGAAAGAAAAACAAAATCCCAAATACTTTGTGATTATAATGGCCATGCTTCACCTTGAATGAGAAAATGGTCTTTTCCCCTTTTTGACAGAGGTGGGGGACTATGGGTGGGGAACACTGCATACAGGATGCCTTGATTAGTTTTGTTATTTTTTTTATTCTGTTAAAAGGGATGATTCATGGGGGGCAGGGGGTGGAGAGGGAGACATCTTTGGAAATGAAAGTGATTTAAAAACTAAAGATATAAATAAAAACAGAGTTTTTTAGGGGGTTTTTTTTGGTTGAGGCAGTCGGGGTTAAGTGACTTGCCCAGGGTCACATAGCTAGTAGGTGTCAAGCATCTGAGGCTGGATTTGAATTCAGGTCCTCCTGACTCCAAGGCCAGAGCATTATCCAGTGAGCTACCTAGCTGCCCCAGTAAAAACAGTTTTTCAGGAAAGGAAAAGTGTAGAGAGTTTGGAGGGGGAAGTAGTCACAACCCTGAACCTAACTAACAGTATGGCCTTGGGGAAATTACTTGCTGTCATTATTTATGAAATGAGGATGCAGCACGATCATCGCCCTTTCATCTAGCTCTCTCAGGTTTACAAAATGCTTTCCCCACAACCGCCTTGGGAGGTTGGTATGAAAAGCATTACGAGCCCCATTTTACAGATGAGGAGAATGAGGCTCCGAGAGAGGGTGTGTGATCTGCTAACCAGTGCTGAAGTCAGCATCTCATAGGACGATAGAAGGAGGGGTGCAGCATCTGACCTCAAGCCTCAGCCCTATGGCTCACAGCTTAGGAGACCTCGGGTAGATCACTTCATCCCCCTACCTCAGACTTCAGTCTCCAACTCGGTAAAAATGAGGGCTAGACTAAATCACAGGGTCACAGATCTGGCCCTGGAAGGGACCTCAATCCAATTCGCTTATTTCGAAGAGGCCCAGAGAGGTTGCCCAGAGGATCTGCTAAGTCAGTCTGTGTTAGAGGTGAGACTTCCTGACCCCAAGGCACTATGTCATACTGCCTCATCACCTGTTTTAGAGATGAGAAAAGTGAATCTCAGAGGTGGTTAAGTAACTTGCCTAGGGTTATAAATATAGACACATACACACGTACACACATGTGTGTGGTTATACATATGCCTGTCTACGTATTAATCTATCAATAAGTACTTATTAAGCACCTGCTGTGTGCCAAGCTTGAGATACAAAGACAAAAGTATCATAGTCCCTGCCTTCAAGAAGCATACATTCTAAGAAGGGAAATAATATGTACATATAAGCACATGCCACATATACAAAGCCTGTAGTGGTAGCTAGCATTTACACAGAGCTTGAAGGTTTATAAGGCACTTTACAAATATTATCTCATTTGAACCTCACTACCACCTGGGAGGTGGATGCTCTTACCTGAATTTTACAGGTGGGTAAATACAACAACATACAACAGCAGACAGTATGTTAGAGCAGAAAGCATTTAGCATCTGGTGATGGAGGAACTGGGTTCAGATCCCATCCATTTACTATCTGGCTGACTTTGGACAAGTCACTTAATTCCTCTGTGCCTCAGTTTCCTCTTCTGTAAAATGATGGGGTTGGACTAGATGGTCCATTCCAGCTCTAGATCCATCTGAGGATCTAATTCTCCGAATACAGTTGTCCTCACTGCTGATGAATGGATGTTCGGGGTGGCTACTCTCTTGGTCTAAAAGGATCTTGACCTGGCAGCCATCAGCCCCTCAACATTCCTCAGCCTTCCTTAGCCTCACCGAGACCATCTGGTTCTTGTGCATCAAATCCCCGCTCCTAACAACCACTGGGAAAAAAACAACAGGCGACTTCCTCCCATCCCATAGCATATCGATGGTAGCTTCTACATTAACGGCTCCCATTTGTCTCGAGCGCTCTCAGGTCGGCCTGACCATGGAATGGATGGAAGCAGCTGGGCCTCCTGGGTAAGATCAATCCAGCCCAGATTCCTGTTTGGACTTGACTTGCATCTGCAAGCCGGCGGCCAGGCATTCCTGCAGACTCCACCAGTCTGGCAGAGCCTCTTGTCTGATGACCGTGCTGTCTGTCTGAGCATCCTGTCAGCCCTCGGGGCCAAGGATCCACCTGGACCTCCCTCTAGTCATGTTCTCGATGAGCTCCCTGGGCCAAAGGGAGACTGAAGCAGCAGCAGCATCTGGGCCAATGTGCAGGGGGAGGGAGGGGGGATATCACCTTCTCAGTTTATTTCAAAGAATTGCCTCCATTGAACTAAAATCAAGAGGAGTAATGGTACCTGCCTCTAGGGTCTAGGGAGGAAGTGGGGTACAGAGAAAAGAGAACTGTACCAAAATCTCACACCATAGACCAAAAAAAAGTCAAAATGGGTTCATGATTTAAATATAAAGGCTGATACTAGAAGCTAACTGGGAGAGCAAGGAATAGTTTACTTATCAGGATTCATGGAGAACAAAAGAATTGAGGACCAAACAGGAGATAGAGAATATCACGAAATGCAAAATGGACAACTTTGATTACATTAAATTGAAAAGGTTTTGCACAAACAAAGCTAATGCAACCAAGATTAGGAGGGAAGTAGAAAACTGGGAAAGAATTTTTTTTTTTTAACAACCAGAGAAAAGAAAACTGCCTCTGGCGTCAGAGGACCCAGGTTCAAATCTGCCTCATGCTCACTACCTGCATCTCATTGGGCAAGTCACTTCCTGGGGAGAGGCAGGCCAGAGGGCCTCTGGGACCTCTCTCAGGCGTAGATCTGTGATCCTGAGATCCCACAAGTCACCTGAACCTCGAGGCTTCTTTCTCTCCAGGCTTCCCGAAAGCAAAGAAGGAAATGAAGTCATGTCTGGGTTGGTTCTGGGTTCTGATGCTCCAGAAGTTTTCTGGTTTGGAGATGGCTTTTAGTGACAGCAGCTGAAAAACTGCTCTTTGTATATCACTAATCCCATTGGAACTCCAATGTGGGAGAGTGAACCCCATGGTCTGCCTGTGTCTTCTTCAGGGAGGCATGAAGTGCAACTGGCCTTGGAGGCAGGAAGACCTGGGTTCGAGCCCTGCTTCTGGCATAAACTGGCTTTGTGACCATGGATAAGGCATTTAACCTCTCTATAACTCTCTGAAGGGCAGCTAGGTGGTGCCATGAATAGAACCCCAGGCCTAGAGTCAGGAAGACCTGAGTTCAAATCTGGCCTCAGATACTTACTAGCTGTGTGACCCTGGGCAAGTTACTTCACCCTGTGTGCCTCAGTTTACTCATCTGTAAAATGAGCTGGAGAAGGAAATGACAAACTGCTCCAGTATCTTTGCCAAGAAAATCCCAAATGAGGTCACAGAGTCAGATGGACTGAACAACAGTAACTCCCTGAGACTTTTAAGTTACGGGCAAGTTTCTGGAATTCCTCACCTGCTCACTAGGAGTTCCTTAAGATCACAGGAACAGACCACAAACAAAAAACATCCCCCCAATACCCCACCTCAGAAGGGAGCACATTAAAAACTTACAGGACACATATCTTAGGGTCAAGGATTTTATCAGATCCTTTGCTGAAAATACATTTGTAAAAAGTTCTACTGCTACTTCTGATGCCACCGGCACTCCCTAATATAGCAATCAACAGGCAGTTATTAAGCACCTTCTGTGTACTGGATGCTGGGGCTACAAAGTCAAAAGTTTGAACGTCCCTGCCCTCCACAGGCTTATATTCTACTGAGATGATGATGAGTACAAGACTTATAAAAAATAAACACAAACTGATGGGGGTGGGGGAGTCCTAACCACAGAGGGAATCCGGGAAGTGTTCTTGAAGGGGGTGGGATTTAAACTGAGCTTTGAAGAGAGGTAGGGACTCCAAAAAGCCAGTGTGGAGTAAAATCATTTCTGGTATTGGAACGTTTACCTATGCAAATACTGGGGTGGGAGGAGATGCTCAACAGATAACAGGGATCACTGACTTATGGAGGCGAGGTAGATAAATGGGGTAACTGTTTAACTAGGAAATTGTTTTACTACTAACCAGTGCTTTTAAGGAGCA